AACACTTTGGGACTGTATTACCAGCTTCTCCAGTTATTCAAATCCAACTAATCCTCCATGGTCTAGCTCAACTCTCAGTAACTCCAACCTAACCAGACATCTTTATCTCCAAACATCCTTTACCATAGATAATCTACAGTAGTAAACTTTTTTGGGTTGAGGAGAATCTGAAGTCATGGTGCTTTTTAAGAAACAAATTATTTAATACATGTGTTGAGACTTACAGTTAGTTATCTATAAACCGATATTCTAAACACATGTAAATAAAATGTTGTATATTATAACTAGTATAAACAAGTAGCTGGAGGCCAAACACTGAATGAAAATACACATAATACACTGTTCCCAATGCATGGGAGAATAAGTTCAAATTGAGAAAACTGTATCTAATTTATTTTTTCCTATATTTTAGAGGAAAAGAGGTCATCAAGAAATTTTAGTGATAAGACAACATATCTATTCTACTAAACATGTGCTATGAAAACCACGAGCCTATACCACATAATTTAGAATTTTATTTTTAATCTTTTGTTCACAACTGTATTCTGTCTTGCACACAAGACGCATTTTGAAGTTCCTGGACTTCAAAATACATCACCGAGAAATTATTCTATAAATAAGTGACTATATCAAACATGATAAACATCCATGTGGGTTAGCAGACAGTAGTGTTAAACACTATTATGCAAAGTGGATAATTAATCATTTATTTCAACTCATGTCTACCACTTGTCAGATGCAAATTCCTAAGGTACCTGACGCTGAAAAACAAAACAAAAAACCACAGTCAGTTGAAAATGTACCTATTTACACAATTATTCACCAAACTTCATATTTTCACTGAACCACTAAATTTTGTGTCAATTAAATTAAAATCATGACAATACTAGAGAAATTGTACTACATAATAAGTTATATATTCCAAACACCCAGAATATCTAGCAATTAATTATTTTAAAAATTCTGTATACCCCTTTGTTATAAAATCAAGTAATGTGTTACCAGTATTAAAGTCACCATGACGAATGAAAAAATGACCAATTAAATTTTAAAAGTTATAAAATACATGTTCTTTAAAATCACTAATTTATACACTTTAAAATAAAATAAAGCAAGAAGTATTTATGTAATATTTACACTTATACCTGTCTTTCAACAAAACAAGAATGTGATCAACTAGCACAATATGTCATAAATAATAAAACTGTTTACACACTTTAAAAAACAATCCTTACAAATCAATGACAGTGAATATTACTTAGCAGAAAACAGCTATTAAGATTTAATTTTGTGATATTTATTTTTGAATGATTACACATACACAGATATATGCCTAAGAGATGTAAAATAAATTCCTTACAATTGCTGTAACTTCCTCTTAATTATTCAGATCACTCTACGGGAAAAAAGTCATCTCTAATGCTACACCAGAAAAGTATCTTTCTACTCTGATACACAAAAAGTAAATGGATATTTTTTCAAATATATACAATAAAACCGTAGGAATGAGATGAAAATTCAACCTTTATGAAAATTAAAAAAGGCTCTTAAAAAGAAGTTGGCATATGAACCGAAATACACATTAAGTGAGAAAAAAATAAACCTTATTTTACAAAGTATTAATGTAACAATACAGAAATTTTTAAAAAGAAAGTGAGGATAGTGTGTGTGTGGTGGGGGAAACACTGTTCATCTCACGCCCTAACACAACCATCATTAGGTTTTGCACCAGCAAAGGCAAATGGGAAGGAACCCTGCTACAGAGGTGGTACCAGATCCAAAGGGGACAGCAAGTAAGTATGACCAGCATTATTCCTTAAGAAAACCTAATATGGTTATCCAGATGAAGAGTGGGAATTTGAGGAGTGCGACAAGCCAGAACAAGTAACAAAGCCATGGAAGTTGAGAGTAGGATGGAATCAGCTGTGACAAAGAGGCTAAAATGAGTAGTTGAAACTGACAGCTGTGTATGGCACTAGCCTTGCAAAGGATAAAGCAATACAAAATCGTTTGAAACAGATTACAAACCTGGCAGAGAATTAGAATCATTTGAAGAGCAACCGATTTTGATCAAGAGAATAAGAAGACAAGACAGAATAAGAGAAAATATTGCAAAAGATGTATCTGATAAAGGACTGTTCAACCTTGTTTCTCAGCCTATGGTAAAATTTCACTTAAAAGTCACAGAAGGTATGTTAAGTGAGGACTTACTGCATACAAAGAATTCATAAAACTCAACAATAAAAAAAACGCTAATTTAAAAAACTGTCAATAGACCTAGACACCTCATCAAAAGAATCCTTGGCAAATAAGCATATGAAAAGACGTTCACCATCTGATCATTACGGAATTGCAAACTAAAACGATGGGATATCACTACTCATCTATTAGAACGGCCAAAATCCCAAATACTGACAACACCGAATGCCAGTGAGGATGAAGAGTAACAAGCATTCTCATTCTCTGCTGGTGGAAATGCAAAACAGTACAGCCACTTTGGAAGACAATTTAGCAGTTTCTTACAAAACTAGACATATTCTTATCACACAACCCAGCAATTATGTTCCTTGGTATAAATATCAAAGGGGTTGACAATTTACGTCCAGACAAAACTGCCCACATAGATGTTTATAGCAACTTTATTCATAACTGCCAAAACTTGGAAACCACCAAGATGTCCTCTAGTAGGTGAACAGATAAAATGAGGCACATCCAGACAATAGAATACTATTTAGCACTAAAAGGAAATGAGCTATCAAGCCATGAAAAGGCATGGAAGAAACAGGTGCACATAACCAAGTGAAAGAAGACAATATAAAAAGGCTACATACCATATGATTCCAACTATCATAGGACATTCTGGAAAAGGTAAAATGAAGGAGACTAAAAACAAAAAACAAAAAACAAAAAAACACCGGTTGCCAGAGGTTAAGGTAGAGGGAGAGATGAACAGGCAGAGCACAGGGGATTTTTCAAGAGTAAAACTCTTCTGTTTAGTACTATAATGAATAGAGGATACATTTCATTATTCATTTGTTAAAACCCAAGAGCGACCCCTAATGTAAACTGCAGACTAGGTGACAGATATGTCGACGAGGGCTCATCCACTGTAACAAGTATACCATTCCGGTGTGAGAGGCTGAAAGTAGGGGAGGCTGTGTCTGTGCAGGCCGGAGTCCTATGGGAAATCTCAGTACCTTCTGCTCAATTTTTCTGTGAATCTAAAACTGTTCTAAAAAATAAAGTTTATTTAAAAAAAAAAGTCTGGAGGCCCACTCAAGAACCAAAGAAAGAGAATCTGAGAGAATCTATTTTTTTTTTTCCTGCGGGGGGTGGGGGGGAGGAGGGAGGGAAGGGGTGAAAAAGCTACCCAAGTGATTCTGATAAAACAGCCAGGATTAGGAAACCACTGGCTTAATAGAGCCACACTGGCCATTTCCGTTCCTTCCCTTGCAGAATCTCTTCAACATGAATGTTTTCATATAGTTATAATAATAATATTGATGCAATTCTGAGTCCTGATTTTTTTAAGCCATCAATTAACATTCAACATTAACCTCTACTTTAGGAGAAAAATATCTAGTTATAGCATATCATTTTCAAAGCACCATAGTAAGTCAAAGAAAAAGAAAATACTGGAAAATACAAGAAAAAAAATGTCATCTGAGACTTTAAGCAACTTCCAACATAACACCCACAGCATAATCTATAAAAGAAAAAAAATGAAAAACTGTAAACCATCAAAGTTAAAAACTTTTGATCTGCAGATACGGTTAAAAGAATAAAAAGACAAGCTACAGACTGGGAGAAAATATCAAATGACTTGTATCCAGTGTGTGCGTGTGTGTGTGTGTGTGTGTACACAAAAATACCAAACAAAACCAAACAAAACCTCTTACAACTCAGTAAAGAAAGCAAACGACTCAATTAAAAAATGGGTGAAAGACCTGAACAGACACTTCGCCAAAGAGGATATATAAAGACAGTTTTGCACGTGAAAAGATATTCAACATTAGCCATTACGGAAATGCAAATTAAAACCATGATGAGATCTCACTACACACCCATTAGAATGGCTAAAATAAAATACACTGACAATACCAAGTGCTGACAAAATTCCCAGCAACTAGAACTCTCATGCATTACAAAAGTGAGGGAATGCAAAATGGCACAGTGTGGCAGTATCTTATGAAGTTAAATATATGCTTAACCATATGACCCAGCAATCCCACTCCTAGGTATTTACCCTAGAGAAATGAAAACTTATATTCACACAAAAACCTGTACATGAATGTCTGGAGCAGCTCTATTCATAATCACAAGAAACTGTATACAACCTAAATGCCTTTCAGTAAGTAAACAGGTAAATGAATAAGCAAACTAGTCATACAATAGACTATTACTCAGCAATAAGAAGGAACAAACTATTGATACGCACAACAGTTAGATCAATCTCAAAGTAATTATGCCGAGTGAAAGAAGTCTCAAAAGGTTACGAACTGTATGATTACATTGATATCACATTTTTGAGAGAACAAAACTATAGTGACAGAAAACAGATCAGTGGTTGCCAGGTACTGGGGGTCGGGGAAGGGAAGGTGTGACTATCAGAAGAAAACGGGGAATTTTCTGGTGTGAGGGAATGTTCTATATTGATAGCGACTATATGAATATAGACGAGATAAAATTCAAGAACTGTACATGAAAATAAAGGCTAATTTTCTTGTATATTGATTTTTTAAAGTTTGTAGCAATTATGATTTTCAAGTTAGATCCTGTTTTATTATTATACCATAAACATAAGCTATGATACCACAATCTTCACTCATAAAAGTAACTTGCATGTCAAACAATAAAGAACTGTGAATTATTTTGAGTATACCAACCTTGTGAACAACTCTGTAATAATTCAAATCAGCATACTACATTCTTTATTTCTCTGAAAACAGCTTTTCCTGTCTTCTCTATTACAAACTGAGAGAAGATTAAAGTGGAACTACTAAGTCAAAAGGATACTTTTATTTTCCAATGTCGTAATAAAACATATTCACCAATGAATTAATGTCCAAGTTGCAAAAAACACACCCTCAAATCAATCAAATTACTGGTCAAGGGAAGATGAGAATGAAAGAAGGATGACTGGAAAAGCCAGCAGACATGAGTTTGCCCTTGAGTTTTCACATCCAAGTATCTTCATGGATTGACAAGGAGGCGGACCCTGGGTCAGTAGCTCTTAGCTGGTTGGAGAATTAGAGACATTAATATCCGCACAGTATCTCCACCCTCTAACACACACACATAATTATTTTAAATCATTAATTAAAAATTTTTCACCCTCTATATTTTAATGCCTAAGGCAAAATCGCAGGCAGACAATACTAATAGAATGTCTACCACAAAGACATTCATCAGCGAAAACTAATTATAGATTTTAGTTCTAAAGTTCACTGAAACTAGAATTGAGCGATATAGTTAATGATGATAGGGATTACTGAGTTAAGGAGTTCCTTCTTAAAGTTTCAAAACTCAGGACAATATTTAATCCAAGTATTAATTATATTGCTAAATACAGAAATTCCCATGACATTATTTTGCATTAAAATACACATCGTGTATTAAAAACATAAACCGGGGCATGAAAAACTGGAGCACATGCTAATTATACAAAGAATATTAAAAAGTATCATGAAGATACTATAATTTTAAGAGATGTGACCACCTAGAAATCTGCAGTATTTTAACAATCACCCAGGAGCTAAAACAATCGAATTCGTATTTGCAAACAACCGCCTATGGCAGCTACTAAGACTGTGACCAAGTTACTTAATCCATCTGGTCTGCAGCTCCTCTTACCTGCAATGTGACTGGGGTTGATTAGATAGATCAGCTCCGCTAAGATGCCTGAGTACCACGCAGGGCAGGCTCCATTTCCCCTGATGAAACATGATTTCTATTGGTTTTGTATGATTTTAAAAGAGGGGTTTTCCATTGTTTTAAAGTAAATGAGAGCCACCGGGTGTCTGCTATGTACCTTCCTGGATCTAAATTCTAAAACATATTGTTTTTTTCATCTCATGAAACCAGAGTATTTACATAAACATGCAACATTTACCATGATTAAAAATAACATTTAAGTACCCATTTATAACATTTGAATTTTTTCAGAGTCCTGCATATGTGATCTGGGGGCTTTTCACTTTACAAATTTGCACCACTACATAAATCCTATTTTTCCAAGAAATACCATTAAAGAATTATTCCTGAAGATCTCAAAAATATTTTCACTTCATCGCACCAGAGCGATGCAACATAAACCTATCAATAAAAGTGGCTTATACAGCAGTGAATTTCTATGGAGCTAAGTCACGGAGTCCAGAAGACAGTTCTTCTAACCCAACACAAATAGTCTGAAAAGAGCTTTACAACTCTTCTCCATACTCCAAGAATCCACAATTTAAAATATTAAAAAGAGATAGTGCAATGTTTTGCTACTTTTTATAACAGTCAGATATACTGAACAGTGGCAGTACAGGAGTATAGATGCTGAAAAGCCCATCTGCCTGATTCAAATCACAAATCCATACTTAGTGAAATGTGCGACCTTGAACAATTTAATTTCTCTGCATTATCGTTTTTATAAAATAGCTTTAATAATAGCACCTACTTGAAGGAACTGCTGTGCAGATAAAATGAGTTAACATACACAAAATGCTTAGAACAATGCCTAGCCCACATTAAATGTCATAGAAGCATTTGCTACTATTATAGTACTATTTGTATTACATATTTGTAATATTATTCACATACATATTTGAATCTCGCTACTCGAAGTGTGTTCCGCAGAGCAGTATCATAGTCCAGATGATGATGATCATCAACATCATCATCCTCTGGGAGCTTGTTAGAAATGCACAATCTTGGGGCCTAAGATCTACTGAACCAGAATCTGCATTTTAACAAGAGTACCAGAAAATTCCTAAGTGCTTTAAATGTTGAGGAACAAGTGACATAAAACACATATACATACACATGTCCACATATTTTATACAGTATTTTATTAACTCTCAATTTCCATTTGATTCTTGCTTTCTTTTCCTCATAGAACAGAAATATCTCTGTAACTAGAAGGAATTCTTTTACTCCATACTTTGTGGACCTTGCAATGCAGCCATCCTCCTATTATTAGTATTTGCAATACAAGTTCAGTGAATAGATGTTGCTCTCTCATATTGTAGATAATCACCTTAAGATTCTGTATTTCAAAGCAAGCTTCTACTGAGGTTAAGAGAATTAAACTGAACTGCTGTAGATATTTAAAACTTTTAAGAATTCACTAATGACAAGTGATTCCTGAATGATAAAAAATTCACTGCCCTCTTGATATTTTCTAGATTGACAAGATTGTTGTTATTTGCACTAACCTTTTAGAAAAAAGGTGGCAATCTTGATCAGAGTAATCATACCAGTATTATTAACAAGACAGCCACTGCAGGGGAAACTTTTCTTGACTGATATCAGAAGATTCTTCTGGAAGTAATTTACTAATGTATATATAGTTAGTAATGTAAGTTTAAGCATTTTGCAAAGAGCACACAAATTGCAATTTCAAAATCAAATTCATTCCTAGTGGCAATATTCCCCCCACTCTTTAAGTGTCCAAAGTGAAGTTCTTAATTCAAAAGACTACATAAAATCTTTCCTCAAATTGACAATCAAATATTTAATGATTACTTCCAACAAGCAAAGCAGGATGCTAGGCACTGTGGGGGATACAAAATGCATTTGGCCACTTTATAATCTCTATGGGAGAAAGGACAAAAGAGGAACTTACAACAGTAGCATTCAAATGACCTCAATACAAAGTAGGATACCATGAGTAGCACTAGAGAAGTCGTGAGGTTCAAAGGAGGGGCACGAAATGGAATTAGGACAACGCATTTTCATAATTCTAAACATGAAGAAAATTTGCTACATGTTCAGGTAAATAAAAAAATTCATCTAAATTTGGCATAAGGTGTATTTAAAAAAACATATCTTAGAAAATAGGGATTTCTTTATGAGTACAAAGTAATGCCATTAAAAATTGTAGCTTTATACCTACTGGTTGAAAAAAAAGGGAAACAGAAAGAAAAAAGCAGTATACCACAGAATGACAGTAAGAATTATCATTTGTAAACTACTCCATTGCCAATGGTTATAATAAGATATACATTAAAAGCCATTATAGCATTAGTACCATAGCTAAGTTGAACAATGGGGACACTGACAGAATAAGTAATAAAACCTATACAAAGTATGGCAATATGGCAATTAGATTTTTGTTCTCTTGAGTACTATGGGGGAAAAGAACCCATAGTTGTACAAGGTCACAGGATCTGGTATCTAGTAAGCTGACAAACTCCATTCTCAAAAAATCAGATGCATACAGCCCCAAAATTATCCTGTACTTTTAAATTGGTGAAACAGACTCTGCGTAAACAGTGGTCAGATTCAGTAACTACCTTGGATAGGTAGAAGTATTACCCTACATACAGAAGACAAAACACATCTCTGCAGTTTATGGATATAAACCATGATGCTTTCCATTTCACTGCTAGTATTAGTTTTAGAGATTCCTTTCAACAGACAACTGTTGAGTGCCAACTTCATGAAGGAACAGGAGATACAAAGATGGAACAGGTCCTAGTTTGTTCATTAACTTATTTAGTAAATATTAAAAGAGTAACACTAGAAAATACAACAGAAAACACGACAGAGAGGGTACCTGCCCTCAAGTGCTTACAGTCTACTCAACAATATATGTGGAAATAGGTGTTTAACACGAGTGAACCTAACAACACTTTAAACTTGGCTCTCCCCAAACATCTAATACTTTCCAAGGAAAAGCTACTCAACTTCCTATGCCCCTCACATCCCATGACTGCTGTCTTCCTGACTCTCTAATAATCTCTATTCCTCACCCTATCCCCAATAATTTCTTCCCCTTTTGGTATTATCCTACTCATATTCAGGTTAACTCTTCTGTATCATATTTATTAATGGTTTGTACACCTAGCTCACAGCCTTCCTCTTCTTTCTGACTCCTGTCACCACCCTAGGCAACATCAATATTCAATATAATGAGTTCTCACTTTTTCCATTAAGGTAGGAAAAAGGACAAGATGGCCAAAGAATGAAAAATAAGTAGCAATGAACGTGGCACTCCTACTAAACCTTTTACTCCATCTTCTCCACTTCAGTCTTTTCTCGAAGATTAAAAACCAATGGCTCCCACAGAATAAAAGCTAACCCTACTATGATGTTTTTCAAAATCCAAGTAACTACCATTCTCATTTCCTAGAAATGCATTTGAAGTCTTTTATGTTCCATCTACACTGATCTTACTCATGCTATTTTCCCTACTGAGACTACTTTTTGCCACTGTTCATTTACATGAGGAATCTTTAATAACCCTTTAAAGCTCATCAAACGTGACCATCTCTTTCTACCTTGTCCTGAACTCAGGCAAAATAATTCCCCTTCAGATCTGGTTACCTCTCTAAAATTGGGAGCTTCTTGCTGATAGGCATGGTATTGTAGTTATCATGGTATTGTAGTTATTTTTTGGTGCCTGAAACACAGGACAGACTCAGTATCTGGTGATAGGTATGGTGTCTTATTTTTTTGGTGGATGAAACACAAGAGAGACTTGGTATTTGTGGGCCTCTCAATCTGTCTGTTAATGAAAATCTTATTCTTGAGTGTTTCTATCAACATCTTTCATAATTCACTGCGATCACATTTATAACATATTTTGTACATAAATGCCATTAAAAAAATCTCTCTACATTCATTCGCACTTGCTGGAAAGGAAGGAAAAGCACTAAAAAGCTTTATTAGAAAAGCTCGGTCTGTTTAATTGGCCTACAAAATAGTCTGGAGCTTACCATAAAATTACCAACTTCATTTCCACATGCAATTAGTACCTTCACATAAACATCTTAATTTATCTACAAATAAACATAATATCTAAAACTCTGGCTCTTTTCATTTTCCCTGTAAAACTGGAGAGAAAAAAACCCACAATAGTACACATGGAGACATTTTCAGCAAATGAGACCCTATGTACAAAAATACACTAAGGTATTATTCTATCAAAAAAAAAATACTTCAGTTTACAAAAAAAAAAAAATCAAATAAGAAAGTCACTTAAAAATTGAAACTATTCCCCCTCAAGGCGTCAAGTTTCCTACTTGTGAAACACAGAGTTTAGAATTGAGCAGGATTATAAGGCACAGATTAAGCAAGTACAAAAACATGAGTTTTGAAATGGCAGAGATCTTTGATATATTGCAAATGCTTAGTAAACTAGTGCCTGTCACGGAACAGATCCTTAATAGGCAGTTTTCTGAATGAATCAAAGTGAGCAGGATGAAGCTCCCCTTATTCTGCCTTCTTCCCATCTAATCAAAGTAAGATAGTATTTGAAGAATAGGATATATGGATAGAAAGATTCTGAGAGCCACTGGAATAAAAGGTCTTTTTAGCGATAAGAAGCTGTTTCCAGTAGAGTTAAAAAGTCAACATCTTTTTTGTTGTTGTTCAGCTGTTAGAATTTCTAAGAGGAAAACTTCTAAAGTATGAGAATTAGCTCATTTATGAGGCTGCCATATATTCAATTATTACTATAAGTAGTAATATGAAAAAACAATGGAAAATTAAGCATGAAGCAAATCTAAGAAACCTGCTAAGCATCACGAAATTGAGATAAAATTCTTGATATATTGAAAAAAATAAAGTTTCTCTCATGACTTTAAGAAACAATCAAAAATAAAAATATTTTTATTCTAAACACATATTATGGTACAGGAATGAACAGTAAACTGAAAAAACTATAAGTCTTAATAACTCCAAATTGTAAAGACACGTAATCATACAATTTTAAGGCTGATTTGGGCTAACACAACCAATCTTAATCTCATTTTATAAATTAATAATCTAAAATTCAGAAAAGTCTGTTTGTTCAAGACTGTTAGTTGAAGAATTAGGCCAAAAGTCCAGTTCTTCCTACTTTTTACCCAGTACTTTTCTACTGCAGCTGCTTCTAAGTTATTTTTTTTTATTAAACATGGAGTGCTCAACAGTAGTTAGAAGGAGAAAAGGCTAGTCCTTGGTTACTGTACTGTTATCAAGTGTGAACCTCAAATAGGAATCTTCTAAAAAGATACCGTTCCTCAAAAACAAAACATTTTAAATATCTTATAATTTCATTTGTCAATTATATCTCAAAAATTCTATAGAAAAATTTTTAAAGAGACAACTCAACCTTTACCTAACCCTGCCCACAATCAACAGAACTGGTTATCCTTATTTCTGAATTTAAAATTGCTTTTTAAGATCACACACACACACACACACACACACACACACACACACACACACGGAAAACCACAATTCGGATAAATAAATGTTGAATTTTATTTTATAATTAAAGGTGAGATCTGAATCTTGAAGTACCACTAACACTTTGGCCATTTTTTAGTCTCCACTACAACCCTCGAACTACATAAAATGTTTAAATTCATCAGGGTTCAATGGGGAGGCTTCATTTCTTTTTCTATATTATTTCACCTATTTCCAGGGCTTTAAGTATCATCTAAATGCTCATAATTCCCAAACTTAAACATTTCCAGTCCAAACTTCTCAGAGAACTAGATTTGCATATTCAATTTCATGGGCATCTTAAAATTAACCTGTGCAAATGCAGCTCCCTTTTCCACCCCCAATTTATATCAAAAAATGGAATCACCAGGTTGTCCAACAGCCAAAAATCTAGAAACCACCTTAGATTCTTCCCTCTTCTTCATCCTCTATAATCAACCTGCATATAATCATCTTTTTGTATCAAAAATATATCTTAAACCTGAAAACTTTTCTCTACCCCACTGTCTGTACACAGGTGCATATCACATCTGCCAGTGACCTGAACCACTGGATTACTCCTTTCTCTTCCCCTCATTTCAACTCTTGAGCTTGTGACTTTGGGCCCTCTAACTTATGTACCACATAGCAACCAGGGTAATATTTTAAAAGCCTACATGTCACTGTCTCACTTGCTTAAAATCCTTGAATGGCTTCCTAATGTACATGTAATTAAGTATGAAGCCCTTATACCTTGGCTTCGAGGCCTGGCATGATCTGGCTTCTGCTTCTCTCTCCCGCCTCACCCTGCCCCAATCTTCCCCACTGCCAATGCTTAATGTCCCATTCACAACTGGTCCCCCCAATCCAAACCCCAACTTCTCTAGTTCAGGGGTTCGTAAAAGATGGCCGGCTGTCTTTTTAAATAAAGTTTTCTTGGCATGCTGCCACACCCACTCATCACGTGTGGTTTACTGTTGTTCCTGTGCTACGAGAGAGCTAAGGAGCCATGACAGAGAACATATGGCCCAGAAAGCTGAAAATATTGACTATCTGAAAAAATGTTTTATAGGCATTGCCTTTGCTTGGCATGCTCTTCAATCCACTTTTCTCATCAGTACCTTTCTCATTCTTCATGTTCCAGCTTAAATATCACCACTTCGTCAAGGAGGCCTTTCTTGAGCTGTGTAGTTGCCCCTATCATTTTTCTCTATCACTGTATCCTGTTTTCTTCATTTTATTTTATAGGTAAATATTTATTTACTGGTCTATCTGTTCCAAAAGTACAGGGATCAGATGCATTCTATTTATCAATACATTTCTTATACCTAAGTCAGAGTCTGGCAAATAATAAATACTTCTGAATGTTGAATTCTGTAATAAGTCTTGTAAAGATAATTTTGTGCCTTTGACAAAATAATCTGTAATTTAAAATTCTTAAAACTGGAGAGTAGCAGAACTTTTTTTCTTAGTATAACATGCTTTTAAAGTTATTTAGAAAAAAAAAACCGTTAAAGAAAAAATGATCCCTGTGAATTCTGAAATGTTTTCATTTTTGCTAAAATAAGACAAGATTTTTCTTATGGCGAAGCACAAAAGGCCACATCACACCCTCAGTTTTGCTTTGTGGTCTTGAGAAATTCACAGAATTCCTTTGGGTCTCTGTTTCCTTGAAAGGAACATTCTTCTAGAGGTAGGAAGAAAACACTACCAAGTGAAAGATATTAGCATTTAGCTTTCCTATGCCTGTTTCGATTTTGTGAACTTACTTCCAAAACCAATAATGAGTTTCTGAAGTGTCCTCCCTTCACCTGCTCTCTGGTAGTTCACACCACTCTGCTTTACCAAAATATTCCTCAAAATGTTCACTATTCTCATCTTGGCATCAATGATAAACAGTGAACAAAAAATTGAACAGACCATGCATTTGCTTCAAAACAAAAACGGATATACGCTGTGAGACTGAAGATACTTTGATACCACAGAACCCTAAACATTCCTTCACCACCCAGTCAGAAGGTGAAGGATCAAGACAGGTGATACTTATTTTCATGCAAACTACACTTATGCGTATTTCATTGGCAATGTTCCTAAAAGTCCCATTTAGCAGAGCAAAACTGAGACTCTTCAATAGGAGACAAACATTTTGGGCTTTTGTATGATGGCCCTGCCTGTCAGATAATAGACTTCTTCTGGCAGTGTCTCCTTCATATAGTGGTAATGTATTTCACAGTTACTGTTTTTCATAAAAAAGGTAAAAATAAAGTCAGATTAGTGGAAAACACAAAAATGAAAGCATTGATACTAAAAGAAATTCAAAAACTTAATTTAACTAAAACAAAGAAATCAGTCAATAGACATGCTGAAATTAGTACATTTCCTAGTCAGAAACTGACACTTTATGCTTGTCAAATATTTGTGAAAGAAAAAATTAAAGAACATTTTCAGATGCTGGTGACATTATTAATGCCTGTGTAAAAGAAATAAAATTAAAAATTTAGTATATATATTTTTAACTTCTTTAGTACAATCAACTCAAATACATGTTCTATGGAATATATTATAGGGAACTCCTATATTTTGAAATGACAGCCTTAGATACAGGACCACTTTAAGCAACGTAAAATATGCTAAAGCTCTCACAGTTACCATGGAGTTGTTTGTTCACATGACTTCAATTTCTACCTAACCACGTTGCAGAGTCCAAAAATCAATCACTTAAACAATGACTTCACACTCTGGCCTCCCCTCATCTTGTCATTTTTTTGGATAAGCCAATTCTCAATCCTAACACAATGACTACAGATGTTTTTTTCTGCATCTGTGCCCACGTTGCAAAGCACCAAAAAAAAAAAAATCACACATTCAGGCCATTTCCTACTGAGCTAGCTTTTCCCCACCTTGGCAATTCCTTAGTAGATTCCCCAAAAGGACTTCTCCATGTTTCTTCACTTCATTTTCAGAAGATGTGTGGATTATTAGATTCATTAAGTTTTAGAACTAAAGAATCACGGAGATATTACTGCCAATTCCTTCATTTTAATTATATAAACCAAGACCTAGAATATAAAGAACTATTTACAAACATTGAACCAATTTATTTGAAGCCCCTCACACACCCTAAATGTCAGTATATTTACTGCATCTTGATCCATTTACAATGCCTCAGGAGAAG